ACTAATTTTTCGTTATTACATTGAAAATACTTAAAAAATTCATGAAAATTATCAAATTATTTTCAATATATTTTTAAAAATATGAGAAAATGCAAAAAAAATTTGAAAATTGTTTTCAAAAAATTGATCTCAATTTATATAGAAATTTTTAAATACTATTTTTTCATACCTCATGTTCTTCATTAAATTTTCGACTTGCTTGCGATTGACGAGCCGTTTCCAATTCTTCCAACAGATCAGCCTGTTCAGTTAATACGGCCAAAGCCAAGGGGGTACGACCAAACTTCGTGACCAATGTAACATCCGCATTATGTTTTAGCAGCAGACGTACTATAGACTTGTGACGTTTCTCAACGGCCCAATGTAAAGGAGTCATGCGTAGCTAAAATGTTTTATAAAACCATAAGATAAACATGTTCCCGGCACTTAAATCGCACAACTTACCATATCCCTGGGATTTACAGCACAATTTTTCGACAATAACAACTCGACAATCTTTTCATTGCCATAATAGCAGGCCAAATGCAAAGGGGTACGATCAACTTTAGTTTTGGAGTCTTTATTAATGCCGCCATTAAGTAAAACCTGGCATATTTCTAGTTGATTGTTCATGGCAGCAAAATGTAAAGCCGACATGCCCAACTGCAAAAACAAAGAGCCACAACAACAACAACAACAAAGTAAAAAAATCGTCATACAAAATAAAAAACACAATAAGAAACCTGTTGCTTTCTCTTAGCAAAAAGCAAAAAACTTACCCAATCCGAAGTGAAAGGTGCTCCTCTGGACAAGGAATTTTTCACTCCCTTCAAATCAGAATCTCTGGCATATTGTAGTAATTGTTTGCCCAAGTCCACAACTGTTGTGGGTACACTCAAAGTACTCAATGACTTGTTGTTTATTATCTCACCCTCCGTGCGCTGCAACAATCAAACAAAACAAAATTAAACAAATTACGCTTAAACTTAAACAAATACTTACAATTTTGTAATTCATTAGATTAGCCAATTGGGCTATAGTGGTTGTACCATCCTTGGTGGGAAATACTTTGCCGTCTGCTCTTAAGGTGGCCACAATTTTGTTACCACCACCTACCATTTTGAGGCTTATTTTCACGAATACCTTTGCAAACTTTAGCTTCTATGGTAGTCCACTAGCACTTATAGCGCAGAGAAAAAGTAAATTTATTTGTAAAATTATTGTAAAAAATAAAATTAAAGGAAAAGGAAATAAACGCACTATTTTCCCAAGCTTTTTCTGGTTCCTCTTTAAATTTGTTTTACAATTATTTTCTTCTTTAAATTTTCATCGTTTTTATTTTGTGCAGGCATTCGTAAATGCCATCAACTGTTAGAGTTGCCAAGTTTAATTTGTGGAAAAATAAGGGTATAAAAAGAAGTAATAGATAAATTCCTAGAAGAATGGCAATACTGTTAACATATGTTACACAAACATCTGGTAGCTTCAAAGGATTTCTTAAAAGGAATCTGGTAACATTATCCGGTTCTGATCTTGGCTAATTTTAGTTTAAAACCAGTTTTCTTTGCAGATTACACTAGTCATCAAGTAATTTACAGATTTCTTACTAATTTTGCGGAATTTAAGTTTTTTTTTAAATTTTATTAAAATAAAATGATTTTAAGAAGATTTTCTGATTGAAATTTGTAGAAATAAAATTTAGAACTACAACTGAAGTAGAAGTGAAGTGGAACTGAACTAAAACTGAACTCAACTGAACTAGAACTGAACTAAACTAGAACTGAACTAAACTAGAACTGAACTAAACTAGAACTGAACTTGAACTGAACTAGAACTAAACTAGAACTGAGCAAGAAATAAACTAGAGCTGAACTAGAAGTGAACTGAACTAGAACTGAACTGAACTAGAACTATACTAGAACTGAACAAAAACTAAACTAGACTGATCTAGAACTGAACTAGAACTGAACTAGAACTGAACTAGAACTAGAACTGAACTAGAACTGAACTAGAACTGAACTAGAACTGAACTAGAACTGAACTAGAACTGAACTAGAACTGAACTAGAACTGAACTAGAACTGAACTAGAACTGAACTAGAACTGAACTAGAACTGAACTAGAACTGAACTAGAACTGAACTAGAACTGAACTAGAACTGAACTAGAACTGAACTAGAACTGAACTAGAACTGAACTAGAACTGAACTAGAACCGAACTAGAACTGAACTAGAACTGAACTAGGACTGAACTAGAACTGAATTAGAACTGAACTAGAACTGAACTAGAACTGAACTAGAACTAGAACTGAACTAGAACTGAACTAGAACTGAACTAGAACTGAACTAGAACTGAACTAGAACTGAACTAGAACTGAACTAGAACTGAACTAGAACTGAACTAGAACTGAACTAGAGCTGAACTAGAACTGAACTAGAACTGAACTAGAACTGAACTAGAACTGAACTAGAACTGAACTAGAACTGAACTAGAACTAAACGAGAACTGAACAAGAACTGAACTAAAACTGAAATAGAGCTGAACTAGAACTGAATTAAATTTTTGTTTCATTTTACAATAAGAAATTATTATTAATAATTTTTAAAGATTTCAAAACAAATTATTTGACAAGTACTGAAAAAAATTAGAACAAAATTAAGAAAAATAGTAAATTATTTGACATAATTCACTTAATCAACAGTTTTATAAAATTTTTTATTTTATGTTTTTGTTCCAAAATCAATTTTATATAAAATTTCGTCTATATCTCCCTTTTCCATATGCTAAACTTAATTATCGTAATATCGATAACTTTTTGTCACCACTAACCTGCAGCAATGCAACTCTGACTCTCTTTAATCATCAAAACAAAAACACAAATGGAACTTCCTACAGGAATTCTTGCAATATTTTTATGAATATCTAATATAAAGATGTACTATGAACTAAAAAATAAACACGCAACTATAAAGAAGCCATTAATTTTACACATTTAGCCCAAAGTCCTGCGCATGTTACCACATAAATATCTTTACACCACCACTTCCACATCCGTCCAATAGAAAACGGAAGTCGGTAATTTTAATAATTCTAAAGAAAATAGCTTACCTGTGATAAAAAACTGATAACTAACATAAACTATAATAATTTCTTCAATTTGTGGCACAAAATTTATACAGTTTTCTTTTGTATTATTAAAGTTTTTCTCGAAAATATAATTAATGTTTACGTGCACACACACTCAGTTTCAAGGGAAATGACAGACTAGCAAATAAGTTTTGTTCGTGTTTTGTTTTTGTTTTACTTTTCGTCCGAGGTTGGGAGTTCTTCATTAAGGTGTAGAAAGAAGGCAATTGGGATTAGTAGGAAAAGCAGGTTGATGATTATAAACAAATTTTTAGTAATTGATTTGACAAACATTTTTAAAAACTAAATTTATGGAACATTTTTTAAAAGTAGAAAATTTGTCAAAAATTAAAAAAAGATATGAACAAGAATTATAAAAAAAAATTATTAGAAATTTCTAAAAACAAAAAGAAATTTTAATAAAAAATATACAAAAAATATATGAAAAGAAAATTTTCTATAAAAAGGAAGATAAAAAAGAAAATTTATCAAAAGTTTTCTATAGAAAAATGTAAAAAAAGAAAATATATCAAAAACTTTCTATAAAAAAATAAAATTTTTCGAAAATTTCCTTTTAAAAATAAAATTTATCAAAAATTCGTTATAAAAAAATTAAAAAAAAATCTAAATACAAATTTGATTGAAAATTGTCTTTTAAATGATATTTTTTCACAAATTTTATTAAAAATTTTTATTATTAATTGTTTCTGAATTGAAATTAAATTAATTTTACTATTGCTTAATTTGCAAATCCACATTTATCCAGACGAATTATATTTATCTAAACTTACCATCTCTGTACTAGTCAACATTAATTACAATCTGGCAACATTTATATTTTGCGGCAGATACCCGCGCCGATTCGCTCTAAAAACGACTAAGCCTAGCCGCCGAACAAAATTTCAAAGCCACCGACGTAGAAAATGTTTCAGCTTAAAAATTTCGCCATATTTTGTATAATTTAGAGAACACTTTCGCTAAATTAATAGAATTTTACAATATAAAATTCATTTATTTTCATTTAACCAAATTTTCTTTTATCTAATAATAAGCCGCTCATTGAAATATAAGCCGCTCATTGAAATATTTTCGTATTTACGTGCCTACAGCAAGTCGCTGCTTTTACTTCAAACACTTTAAAGAAAAAAGTGTTTGCTACAAACACGAGATACGAAAAATACATTGCTGCTTAATCTGTTAAAATATTTTTGTACAGGCTATACGAAACCAGCAGATAACTATCCATTCGCCCGGTACAATTCAATTAGGGATCGTTTCAAGTCCTTATAATTCAGCTATATGCAGAAACGAATGCGATTTCTATTTCGATAAAAATAAATTTATGAATTTTAACTTTTTGACATTTTTTAAACTGATTCTAAGAAGTTGTTTCGGATACGTTCCATGCAAAGTTCTAAAATAATTAATTTCCTAGTTATTTTTTTTTTTTTAATTGAGTTATATTTTAATGAATTAACAATTCTTCTAACTCATTCCTTTTGATTTTATTCCTATAATTAATTATTAAAGCTTTCGATATAGTTGAATGAAATCTCATGAAGGTGAAAGGTATAAAAATGAAGAGTTACAATCGTGAGTTTAAAAATAAATCTCGTGAAAATGAGTTGTATAACTACAGAAATACATAACATAGTATTCACGAATATAAAAATTTCCTTGTCTGGTCGACAATTCCGATTTTTAAAATATTGCTTCAAAATCCCACTTTTTAATCTTTCGGATTCCGTTTTTATTTAAGATCGTTGAAAATTTAAAAACACAACTGAACACTTTTGCGGCTTATTGCCGTCTTTAAGCCGCTGCCGACATTTTTAGTGACAGCCACCGTTAATATTTGTCGGCGCAGGGCTCTGTTGTGCGGCGGTCGGATTTGACAAAGTGTTTTTATATCTGTGCGGGAACGGATGATTGTGTGTGCTTACGAGAAAAAATACGAAAAAATAAAGAAAATTCTTATTTTACAATACATATATATTTATGTATATATATATAAAAAGTTTCCATTATACATTTAAAAATTATTTATTTTAAAAAAATATAAAAAAGAACGAAAAAAATAAAAGAAGTGATTGCAAAATTAGAATGGAAGCAGCTATAAGTGATGAAATATTTTATCAACAAAATCATAATAATAAATTATTAACCAATGAAACAATAACAAGTGACTATGACTCCTCCGCCTATAATACAAGCACAAATCTATCAACGTCTTCCTTATCAAATTGTTCTTCCATATCTTCGCCGTCGTCGTCATTTACTAAATCCCCTACACTGGAAAAAATGAAAACAATGTCAGCAGCAGAGGGCTACACACAATTGGAGCACGATGACACAACAATGCTAAATGATTACTTTCATACAGCACAGGTGCCGTCAACGCTGCAGCTACAGCAGCAGTTGTTGCCACAAACACAGCAACAAATAAATCAACAGGTGCTGCAACAATTAGGTTTTAATTTGTACGACGATAATTTAGATCTTAATTATGCCACCAACATCACTACTACAGAAAATATCACAGAAAACTCTTTAAATAGTAATAATTTATCTACTCTCTATGGCACTACTACACCTACTTCACCCTCCTTACTTAACGTTAGTAATAGTAACGATGAGATAAATAGTAATTTTTCCCATAAACTGTTGGGCCTAACAACGAACGATACAAATTTATATATTGATGATGATTTCATTTTAAACTATTTAAATCCTGCAAACGACATGTCACCAACAACAGCAACTAATGCCAACAGTTTGTATAACATGGACAGCAACCACCAACAACAGAATCATAACCCACTATTATCACCTTCATCTTTATTACATACTAGCACACATTTAGATTCACCCTCATCTATACTAAACACAAACACCAATACATCATCTTCATGCATAAACTCACCAGCCTCGGACTTAAATTATATGGAATTACAAGGATCTGCTACGTCGTCATCATCTTCATCCTCCAATACACCTTGTTCGTTAATTGGCATTAGTAATGATAGTAGTATCAATTCATTTAATGATTTCTCAACGGGAGAAAATGGTATTTGTTTTAAATTTGAATATGCTTTTGAAAATCAAAAGTTAGTACAAGTACAACCTCCACCAACAGAAACATCAATACTTTCTCTGCCTTCGATTGCCACCACTGCCACCAGTAATAGTAGTACAAGTGGTGGTGGTGATGTTATATCTATGACAGAACCCATTTCTATAATGACTTCATCGTATGATTCTACCGATGGTGGAGGAGGAAGAGTAGATCTTTCACCATCATCATTAATACCGGCGTCTTATGTTATATCCCCCTCCCAAACGTCGTCAAAGCATAATATGGTCAATATATCGAATGAAAGGTAGTTTATAGTTTTGTTGTTTAACTATTTTGCATTTTTCCGATTTCCTTGATTTCTTTCTATCACAGCTTGTTACTGCTGCTTGTAAAAAGCTTTTTTTTTTTTTTTTGTAAATATTTCTTATTATTTTTGTTGTACATTTGTACTCGTAATTTTTGTTTAAGTGGTAGATTGATAATTTTTGCTTAATATTTATATACATTTTGTTTGTTTATCTTTTTATAAGTATTAATTTTTATTTTTAACCGCCTGCAAAAGATACCAAAAAAAAAAACGTTGATGTTTCTGATTAATATTGAGCCTAGACAAAATTAAGACGAAGTTTTTTGCTTTTTTTTAGATAATGCTTTGTTTTTTTTTTGTGTGTAATTTAAACGGAGCATTTGCTTTGTATTTTAAACTTGTAGGAGTTATTGTAGATATTTTTTTAAATATTTAAAATTACGCTTATCATTTTTGTTATAAAATCTATTTCAATAGCATTGTGTTATTATGCGTTACCATGTTCAAAATTTCGAAAATTTTAGGTCATAATCTTAGTTTTAGTTGTATTAGAAACCAATTACTTAAAATCTTTTAAAATTTTTAATGTAGTTTCGTAAAATAAGTATTTTAATCCACACTTCCCTAAGGGACTCAATAGCTACTGCGCTATCAAGCTAGCTCGAAGACAGGGAGTCAGCAATTGCTGATCTTGCGGCTAGAGTGGTACTCGCCTTGGAAAAGTAATTAACAGAGAGTATTCCCAAACTGTCAAGTGGGAGGTGATTTTTTAGTATTATGCTTATCCCATGAACCGTCTGTCAAGGGTAAAAACCTTCACTTAAGCCTTCGCATCTACATATCATGATTGGAAAATATTAATTTTAGTTTCATTAAAGGCCAATTTCCTAAAGTTTTAAATTTTGAAAATAATTTAAAAATTTTTTTATGAATTTTTTAAGTTTTTTAGGTTAATTCGAAAATTCGAACATAATATCAAAAAACATTTAAAGATTAGAAAATATCTGAAAGTCATGATGATTTATACAAAAAGTTATTTTAGTTTAATTTAGATCAATTTTATTTCCATTTGAAATTCGAAAATTCGAATTTAATTTCGAAATTTTTTTAAAACTTTGGAATTTATTTCTAAACGTTGAGGATTCATAAAATTATAAATTTAGTTTAATTCGAGGACTATTTCTTACAGTTTACAATTTCGAACATAAAAATTTTGAAAAAAATTTAAAAATTTGATGAATTTTTAAAGTATTTTAATGTATTTTTAAAATAAAAGACGCTAAGTTCGATAATTCGAAACTAAATTTGAAAAATTGAAAAAAATTTAAAAAAAAAAAAATCTGGAAATTATGATGATTTCCAAATAAAGTAATTTTAGTTTAATTTAGATCAATTTTATTTCCAATTGAAATTCGAAATATCGAATTTAATTTCGAAAATTTTTTAAAGGATTTGGAAATTATTTCTAAACCTTGAGGATTCATAAAATTATAAATTTAGTTTAATTCGAGAACTATTTCTTACAGTTTACAATTTCGAACATATAATTTTTGAACAAAAATGTTAAATTTTAATGCATTTTCAAAATGGAAGCTTTTTCGAAAATTCGAACTTATGTTCGAAAAAATTTTAAAACTATGAAAATAATCTCTAAGTTATAAGGAATCATAAAAATATAATTTTAGTTTTATTTGAGACCAGTTTTCAATTTCAAACTTAAAAATTTTGAACAAAAAATTTAAATTTTTTAAGTACAGTACGAAAGTACGAAAGCGCCTGACATTATATCATTAACCAGGATTTGCCTGTATTTTTAATGTATTTTCAAAATATAAGCTTTTTAGGTTAAGTTCGAAAATTCGAACTTATGTTCGAAAAAATTTTAAAACTATGAAAATAATCTCCAAGTCATAAGGAATTATAAAAACATAATTTTAGATTTATTTGAGATCAATTAAAACACACATTTCCATTTCGATGTCAAAATTTTTAATTCAATTTAAAATTTTTTATAAATTTCTTAAGAATTTTTAAAGTAGTAGAGTAAAAGTTTTTTAAGTTTATTTCGAACTTAGATTCAAAGTTCTATACACACATACGCAAGTTTTTTTTCAAAAAGTTGTTTCTCTATTTTTCTTTAACTTTTTAAAATAAACATTTGCAAATTAATTTTTCTGACAATTTTATAAACATTATACGTTTAAAAATAAATAAATTATTTTATCTAATAAAACAACATTTGTTGCATTTCAAATGAAATTTTAACAAAAATACCTTATATTACTCATTAGAAATCATTAAATTTTATATTTGTATAAACATTTAATTGTAAAAATTGGAGAAAATACTCATTAAAACAATATTAAATTAAATAACACTGTTGTATACAAAAAATTGTTGTATACAATTTGATGTTAAAAATTAACAACAATACAAGAACAATCAAAAAATGTCTGTGGGTCCCACGCAACATTAAAAATTTATACACATAATACATACTTATAAACTTAAAATTTATGATTTGGAAAATCACAAATCTATAAATAAACTATTGATAAAAAGAAATTTTTTAAAAGAATATATTTTAAAGGAAAAAATAACAAAACAAAAAATGTGTATTTTTATAAATAAAAAGAAGAAGAAAAAAGTTTTTTAATTAAACAAAAATAAAGTAAACATTTAGTAAGCCTATTTAGCTGTTTTTAAAATGTATTAAATTTTTGTAAAAATGAAACCATGTTTCAATTTTCTAAAACAATTTTTTAATAATTTAGAATATTTAATATAGACAATAGCGTCATCCATCCCTCGTCATTGACTTTGGCGTATTAGTAGTACTCGGCACAAAAACAAAATTATTTGTTTTTTCCACAAGTATATGTAAAATCTCAAAAAAAAAACATGAAATTAAAAAAAAATTGTTTTGTATATTGGGGGCGTTTACAGACATCATGTTTTCTCTATTATTTGCAGCATGTGCTGCTGTGCATTCGATATTTTATTTTTAAGAGAATTTTTGCAAATTTGTTTTAGTTTTATTTTTAAACTTTTTTTTTTTTTTGATTTCTATAATTTGGCAAAAATATTCTAAATTTTAATTTAATTTGTTTAAAATTTAAATAATACAACAAAAAACAGTTTTATATATACAAAATAATTGTGTGTGTGGGCAGCTGGTACATGCAACAAAATGTTTAACGATTCCTTGTATACATGCAATCATACAAATGTATTTATGTATATTTGTTCATGTGCTGTAGTTCATCAAATACTTTGAGTGGAACCATGCAAATCCAAATAATATTTTATCATTTTAATATTCTGTTCCGTAAGAAAAACAAGTGTATTATTGTTTTTATTTTAAGGACATTGTTGATTTGTTTATTATAAACAAATTCTTAATACTTTTTGTACGGTTAACTTTATAACAAGAATTCATAATAAATAATTCTTTTGTTTCCATCATAGTTACATCTTCACTTCGAAAATCTGAAAATTTTAAAATGGTTTTTAAAGGAAAACTGTTTTTCTAATGGAATTTTGTTTAACAAGTTTATTCAATTAATGGCCTTAAATTTTTGTTTTGAAAATCATTTTTATTTATATTCCTCTACTCTACTAGCCATAGCTTTGTTGCTATTTGGAATCAAATAATGCCAAAGAAATTTTTATTTATATTTTTCCTCAAATCTCATAAATTTCAATTTAGCCGTTAATTTAGTGACTAATGTTGTTGTTATTGTTCTTTTTCATTTCTTTCTTTTTCATAAATCAGGTGTTTGTTGTTGAATAAGTTTACACCTGATGCAGAATCATAAATTATTTCTGTTTTCATATTTTTGTGGTATTTTTTTTTTTTAATTTTTCAATATTATTTTTTGATATTAAATAAAAATTTCTATATGCATTTATACTAGAGTGTGTAGGAGAATCTTTTAAAATCATACATGGGAATTTTTCATTAAGCATTAAAATTTCATTACCATTTATAGAAAAAATTGTAATGAAAAATATTTTAAGTACCATTTAATGAAAATTATATTTTTTTCATTATAACTTTTTTTGATAATGGTAATGAATTTGATAATGAATTTTCAAAAACGAATTTAATTAGTATTTATAATTGTCGAAAAATATATTAAGGAAAATTTTTCGAAGATTCGAGGTTTGAAAGCTTTTAAAACCAGTTCCCGTAGCCCAAATTGGCTGAAATTTTGCAGTCATAAGTACATCTGATGACAATACAATAATATGTTCGAATATTCGAAATTAAGTTCGAAAATTCGAAGTTATTTTCGAAAACTTTTTTATGTTTTTAAATTAATCTCTGTGTCATAAAACCTAAAAAAAAAATTTCGAAAATTCGAACTTGTGTTCGAAAAACTTTTAAAGCTGTTAAAACTAGTTCTTCTAGTCCGAATGTGCTGAAATTTGGCATACATGATTTCACCTAATGACAATACATTATAATGTTCGGATATTTGAAATTAATTTCGAAATTCGAACTAATGTTCGAAAATTTTTAAAATCTATTGAATAATGGTAATGAAAATTTATTTTTATATAATTACTAATGAAATCGTTTCATTAAAAACCATTACCATTAGACAAAATAATGCTAATGAAAAAAATAATAATTATAATTTTTTTCAATTTAATGCTAATGAAATCGTCAATTAATTAGTCGATATAATTAACTACTCCCATGTATGTTTAAAATAATATTACTCCTACTTGGTTAATTTCTAATTGAACAAAAGCCATATTTGAAATAATTTTATTTTAAAATAATATTAACATTTTTTGAATATATATACATATGTATCTTTAGTTTAGTTCCCGTTTAGCTCTAGTTTAGCTATAGTTTAGTTCTAGTTTAGTTCTAGTTTAGTTCTAGTTTAGTTCTAGTTTAGTTCTAGTTTAGTTCTAGTTCAGTTCTAGTTCAGTTCTAGTTTAGTTTTAGTTTAGTTCTGTTTGAGTTTTAGTTCAGTTTTAGTTCAGTTCTAGTTCAATTCTTGTTTAGTTCTAGTTTAGTTCTAGTTTAGTTCTAGTTTAGTTCTAGTTCAGTTCTAGTTCAGTTCTAGTTCATTTCTACTTCAGTTTTAGTTTAATTCAGTTCTAGTTCAGTTCTGGTTCAGTTCTAGTTCGGTTCTAGTTCTGTTCTATTTCAGCTCCAGTTCAGTTCTAGTTCAGATCTAGTTCAGTTCTAGTTCAGTTCTAGTTCAGTTCTAGTTCAGTTCTAGTTCAGTTCTAGTTCAGTTCTAGTTCAGTTCTAGTTCAGTTCTAGTTCAGTTCTAGTTCAGTTCTAGTTCAGTTCTAGTTCAGTTCTAGTTCAGTTCTAGTTCAGTTCTAGTTCAGTTCTAGTTCAGTTCTAGTTCAGTAGTTCAGTTCTAGTTCAGTTCTAGTTCAGTTCTAGTTCAGTTCTAGTTCAGTTCTAGTTCAGTTCTAGTTCAGTTCTAGTTCAGTTCTAGTTCAGTTCTAGTTCAGTTCTAGTTCAGTTCTAGTTCAGTTCTAGTTCAGTTTCTAGTTCAGTATCTAGTTCAGTTCTTAGTTCACAGTTCTAGTTCAGTTCTAGTTCAGTTCTAGTTCAGTTCTAGTTCAGTTCTAGTTCAGTTCTAGTTCAGTTCTAGTTCAGTTCTAGTTCAGTTCTAGTTCAAGTTCTAGTTCAGTTCTAGTTCAGATCTAGTGTTAGTTCTAGTTCAGTTCTAGTTCAGTGTCTAGTTCAGATCTAGTTTAGTTCTAGTTCAGTTCTAGTTCAGTTCTAGTTCAGTTCTTAGTTCAGTTCTAGTTTCAGTTCTAGTTCAGTTCTAGTTCGAGTTCTAGTTCAGTTCTAATTCAGTTCTAGTTCAGTTCTAGTTCAGTTCTAGGTCAGTTCTAGTTCATTCCTAGTTCAGTTCTAGTTCAGTTCTAGTTCAGTTCTGAGTTCCAGTTCTAGTTCAGTTCTAGTTCAGTTCCTAGTTCAGTTCTCTTCAATTCTAGTTCAGTTCTAGTTCAGTTCTAGTTCAGTTCTCTTCAATTCTAGTTCAGTTCTATTTCAGTTCTAGTTCAGTTCTAGTTTAGTTCTAGTTCAGTTCTAGTTCAGTTCTAGTTCAGTTCTAGTTCAGTTCTAGTTCAGTTCTAGTTCAGTTCTAGTTCAGTTCTAGTTTAGTTCTAGTTCAGTTCTAGTTCAGTTCTAGTTCAGTTCTAGTTCAGTTCTACTTCAGTTCTAGTTCCGTTCTAGCTCAGTTCTAGTTCAGTTCTAGTTCAGTTCTAGTTCAGTTCTAGTTCAGTTCTAGTTCAGTTCTAGTTCAGTTCTAGTTCAGTTCTAGTTCAGTTCTAGTTCAGTTCTAGTTCAGTTCTAGTTCAGTTCTAGTTCAGTTCTAGTTCAGTTCTAGTTCAGTTCTAGTTCAGTTCTAGTTCAGTTCTAGTTCAGTTCTAGTTCAGTTCTAGTTCAGTTCTAGTTCAGTTCTAGTTCAGTTCTAGTTCAGTTCTAGTTCTAGTTCAGTTCTAGTTCAGTTCTAGTTCAGTTCTAGTTCAATTCTAGTTTAGTTCTAGTTTAGTTCTAGTTCAGTTCTAGTTCATTTCTACTTCAGTTTTAGTTTAGTTCTATTTGAGTTTTAATTCAGTTCTAGTTCAGTTCTAGCTTAGTTCTAGTTCAGTTCTAGTTCAGTTCTAGTTCAGTTCTAGTTCAGTTCTAGTTCAGTTCTAGTTTAGTTCTAATTCTGTTCTAGTTCAGTTCTGGTCTAGTCCAGTTCTAAAAAATTAAGTTCGAAATAAATAAAAGTAAAATTATATCTTCGAATGCACGTCATTTCAAGATTATAACTTAATTTCGAATCAATATTTTGTGTTATAAATTAAAAAAAAGTTCTAGTTTAGTTCTAGTTTAGTTCTAGTTTAGTTCTAGTTTAGTTCTAGTTCAGTTCTAGTTCATTTCTACTTCAGTTTTAGTTTAGTTCTATTTGAGTTTTAATTCAGTTCTAGTTCAGTTCTAGCTTAGTTCTAGTTCAGTTCTAGTTCAGTTCTAGTTCAGTTCTAGTTCAGTTCTAGTTCAGTTCTAGTTTAGTTCTAATTCTGTTCTAGTTCAGTTCTGGTCTAGTCCAGTTCTAAAAAATTAAGTTCGAAATAAATAAAAGTAAAATTATATCTTCCAATGCACGTCATTTCAAGATTATAACTTAATTTCGAATCAATATTTTGTGTTATAAATTAAAAAAAAGTTTGATTTAATGAATCCTTACGATTTAAAAATTATTTTAGCAGCACCAAAGTTTTGATTTTTTAACTTACCTTAAAACATTTATAATCTAAAACTATTTTGAAAATACATATGTACTTTAAAATTCACGAAAATTTAAAAAATTTTTTTAATATTTTTAAATTCGAAGACTTTATTACAAATAATAAAGAGTTTTATTAAGTATTCAACATTTTAAAATTTTCTATTTTTAAATATTTTTGAAAATTTGAACAGAAGTTTGTATAAAAAAACAATTTTTGTAAAATAAGTTTATTTTTTCAATATTGACAAATAATGTACATTATACATACAAAACCAAATGGAAAATTTTTGCAAACAAATAAATAATAAATCTTCCCCCTTTACTTAAAAATATAATAAATAATAAATGCAAATTTTTCAAAATTTCAAAAAACATTTCAAAAAATATTGAAACAAACGACTATTGTCTATTTAAATGGCTATAATTTTATAAATAGAGCCAATTTTATCCATTATTGCTTTTTTATTGAATGCATTTAAATTCTAAGTGGTTTTCTATCACATTTCATTATTAATAAAATATTTAAAATAAATATTTTTCAATTTGTTAAATGTCGTTCTAATAAAACGCCTTCAAAAAAATATTGAAAATTTTTTTTTCTACCAAATATTAATTCTATTTCGGTTTGAAATTCATACAGATAGACAGACAGATATATTTGCTTATTTGTATGTCAACGACCAAGGTCAAAATATTAAAGATCTAAACAACTGAATATTTCAGTCTTCCTACTCTCGAAAAGAAATAATAATAATAAAATAAAATTTTATTTATAATATTGAATTTATTGTATAAATAATGTTCATTTTCCTTCGTTCTTATTTTTTTTTTTGCATTATTTAACTGTATATAGCAACAAAATTTTGAAATTAGCCGGCAAAATAAAACCAAACTGCTGCTGCTTATGCATTAAATAGTTTATTACTTAATCCATGTGTTTGTCGTTTGTTATTATTATTGTTTAAAATTTAAACAAATTAAAGAAATGTTTAAAAAAACATGCTTTATTGACAAAACGTTTGTTGTTGTTGATGTTTTTTTGGGAAAGCATTTTACTAAAACCCATACAAACCAAACAAATGAAAAACATTTGCTGTGTGAAAACAAATTTAAAAAAAAAACACTGTTTATGTTGTTCGTACTAAACAAAATAAAAATAAAAACAAAACTAAAAAAAATAACTCAATAACACTAATTTATTTTCTTTTTCTTTAATATTTTTAATACATTTTACTATCAATATTATAAAAAAACACATTTATACATACAAACATGCAAAAAAACATAAATGTATATGTATCACAAAAAACAGGTGCGAGCAAACTAAACGCAAAATGAAACAAAAAAATGGAAATTCTTTTTTTTTTTAAATATAAAAAATTTTTCTTTTTATTTTGGGGTTTTGAAAAAAAAAACATCATCACCAATCAACTACCAAAACAACAACAATAAAACAAACATTTAAATACTAAAACACAACAAAATGTAAATCGAAAATAAAAAAAAAATATCTAAAAATGAATAATGATAAAATTATTGCGAACATTATTTGTACGATTTGTTTATTAGTTATATGGAAGTAAATAATGAGCCTGATGAACTTTCATTATGTATACGACCTGGTGCCTTACACAAACAGAAAGGAGAGCCAACTTATGCAACAGTTTCTTTCGAGGTACTAGAACTTTTTCCACATCACTGATACCACTGTTACCACTAGTACTACTACTTACTATTAAAACTTTACTACTACCACTACTCTAATCGCTAATGTAAACAAACAAAATGAATAACATTTAATTATTATGAAATTTTCTAGTATTAAGAATATTTTTTGATTATATTATATTTTTAATAATAATGTTGAAGACTCAACAGTTCAAAACAGTTGTCGATTTCCCATAAAAGATAAAATTCGGGACAGTTTTTAATGTTTATTGCAGAATAATTTGTTAGTAATCAAAATAACTCAAAAGAGTTCTAGTTCAGTTCAAGTTAAGTTCTAGTTCAGTTCAAGTTAGTTCTAGTTCAGTTCAAGTTAGTTCTATTTCAGTTCTAGTTGAGTTCTAGGTGAGTTCTAGTTCAGTTCTAGTTCAGTTTTAATTCAGTTCCAGTTCAGTTCTAGTTCTAGTTCAGTTCTAGTTCAGTTTTAGCTCAGTTCTAATTCAGTTCTAGTTCCCTTCAGTTCAGTTCTAGTTCAGTTCTAGTTCTAGTTCAGTTCTAGTTCAGTTCTAGTTCAGTTCTAGTTCAGTTCTAGTTCAGTTCTAGTTTAGTTCTAGTTCAGTTCTAGTTCTAGTTCAGTTCTAGTTCAGTTCTAGTTCTAGTTCAGTTCTAGTTTAGTTCTAGTTCAGTTCTAGTTCAGTTCTAGTTCAGTTCTAGTTCAGTTCTAGTTCAGTTCTAGTTCAGTTCTAGTTCAGTTCTAGTTCAGTTCTAGTTCAGTTCTAGTTCAGTTCTAGTTCAGATCTAGTTCAGTTCTAGTTCAGTTCTAGTTCAGTTCTAGTTCAGTTTTAATTCAGTTCCAGTTCAGTTCCAGTTCAGTTCTAGTTCAGTTTTAGCTCAGTTCTAATTCAGTTCTAGTTCAGTTCTAGTTCAGATCTAGTACAGTTCTAGTTCAGTTCCAGTTCAGTTCTAGCTCAGTTCTAGTTCAGTTCTAGTTCAGTTCTAGTTCAGTTCTAGTTCAGTTCTAGTTCAGTTCTAGTTCAGTTCTAGTTCAGTTCTAATTCAGTTCTAGTTCAGTTCTAGTTCAGTTCTAGTTCAGTTCTAGTTCAGTTCTAGTTCATTTCTAGTTCAGTTCTAGTTCAGTATTGGTTCAGTTCTAGTTATGTTCAGTTCTAGTTCAGTTTTAGTTCAGTTCTAGTTCAGTTCTAGTTCAGTTCTAGTTCAGTTCTAGTTCAGTTCTAGTTCATTTCTAGTTCATTTCTAGTTCATTTCTAATTCATTTCTAGTTCAGTACTAGTTCAGTTCTAGTTCAGTACTAATTCAGTTCTAGTTCAGTTCTAGTTCAGTTCTAGTTCAGTTCTAGTTCAGTTCTAGTTCAGTTCTAGTTCAGTTCTAGTTCAGTTCTAGTTCAGTTCTAGTTCAGTTCTAGTTCAGTTCAAGTTCAGTTCTAGTTCAGTTCTAGTTCAGTTCTAGTTCAGTTCTAGTTCAGTTCTAATTAAGTTCTAGTTCAGTTCTAGTTCAGTTCTAGTTCAGTTTTAGTTCTAGTTTAGTTCTAGTTCAGTTCTAGTTTAGTTCTAGTTCAGTTCAGTTCAAGTTTAGTTCTAGTTCAATTCTAAATGAGTTTTTATCTTTATTGAAAAATATTGTTTATCAAAAAATATTCAAAATAACTAGAAATTATTGCGAACTTTTAGAAATAAATATTTTTTTGCTTTTTAGTGCAAAACTCAATTTTAAAAAATCGCTGCGTTTAATATACGATCTACTACTTGGCCTGGCCTTAACCATAAATTTAATCAGTTTTATTTCGAAAAAAAAAGCAAATGCGAAATCAAAGGTATTCTAACACACGCACATTAAAAAATATAATAATGAAACAAAAAAAGGGGAAATATTAATCATCAGTTGGAATATTATGCTTTTTTTGTTATTTTTTTATAATTATGCTTGCTGCCGATTAGTTGCTGTTTTTACAAAAAAACAAATCTCACACACAAACAATTATTATTTATAAAAAAGAAAATTGCCATAAAATTTAATTTAATTGCATGTAGTTTTCTAAATTAAATGATGTATTTACTTTTTTTAAATCTTTAGTAGATTATTTTTTTTAATCATATTTAATTTGAATTTTATTTTCTAATTATGTGTTTTTTTGTTAATTTCCCTATCTTTAGAGTTCGGATGAATCACTATCACGTTACAAGTGCAACTATGAGAATTGCAATCGCAGTTACAGCACAATTGGTAATTTGAGAACACATTTAAAAACTCACAAGGGTAAGTGTAATATGAAAAAGCTATTGGGATTTTTTATCCTTTTTGATTTAACTTAGGAATAATATTTTCCAATTTTAATAAAAATGTTCCCCTTTTTTTCATATTTTTCAATTTTTGTATGTTTATTTTCTTTTAGGTGAATATCGCTTCAAATGCCCCGAAGAGGGATGTGGCAAAGCATTTTTAACTTCCTACAGTTTGAAGATCCACATACGTGTGCACACAAAAGTTAAACCCTATGAATGTGATGTCGGAGGCTGTGAAAAAGCCTTTAATACACGCTATAGGTGAGATGAGATGAGAGCATTTAAATACTTTCAAAATCTATTTACAATTATTAATTCTAGTTCAGTTTTAGTTGAGTCCTAGTTTAGTTATAGTTCTGTTCTAGTTCAGTTCTAGTTCAGTGCTAGTTCAGTGCTAGTTCAGTTCTAGTTCAGTTCTAGTTCAGTTCTAGTTCAATTCTAGTTCAGTTCTAGTTCTAGTTCAGTTCAGTTCTAGTTCAGTTCTAGTTCAGTTCTAGTTCAGTTCTAGTTCAGTTCTAGTTCAGTTCTAGTTCAGTTCTAGTTTAGTTCTAGTTCAGTTCTAGTTCAGTTCAGTTCTAGTTAAGTTCTAGTTCAGTTCTAGTTCAGTTCTAGTTCAGTTCTAGTTCAGTTCTAGTTCGGTTCTAGTTCAGTTCTAGTTCAGTTCTAGTTCAGTTCTAGTTCAGTTCTAGTTCAGTTCTAGTTCAGTTCTAGTTCAGTTCTAGTTCAGTTCTAGTTCAGTTCTAGTTCAATTCTAGTTCAGTTCTAGTTCAGTTCCAGTTCAGTTCTAGTTCAGTTCTAGTTCATTTCTAGGTCAGTTCTAGTTTATTTCTAGTTCAGTTCTAGTTCAGTTCTAGTTCAGTTCTAGTTCAGTTCTAGTTCAGTTCTAGTTCAATTCTAGTTCAGTTCTAGTTCAGTTCTAGTTCAGTTCTAGTTCAGTTCAAATTCAGTTCTAGTTCAGTTCTAATACAGTTCTAGTTCAGTTCCAGTTCAGTTCTAGTTCAGTTCAAATTCAGTTCTAGTTCAGTTCTAATACAGTTCTAGTTCAGTTCCAGTTCAGTTCTAGTTCAGTTCTAGTTCAGTTCTAGTTCAGTTCTAGTTCAGTTCTACTTCAGTTCTAATTCAGTTCTAGTTCAGTTCTAGTTCAATTCTAGTTCAGTTGTAGTTCAGTTCTATTTCGGTTCGAGTTCTTTTTTTAATTTTAAGCTTTTTTTCATAATTTCCATATTTTTAGAACATTTTTGTTAATTTTTATTTTACTTTTCCAGACTCCATGCCCATTTACGCCTGCACAATGGCCAAACGTTTAACTGTGACCAGTGTAAGAAATGTTTTACTACTCTTAGCGATTTAAAGAAACACATGCGCACCCATACCCAAGAGAGACCCTACAAATGTCCCGAAGATACATGTGGCAAAGCATTTACTGCCTCGCATCATCTTAAGACACACATACGCACCCACACCGGAGAACGTCCTTATCCATGCGAAGAGACCAGTTGTCAAAAATCCTTCAGTACTTCACACAGTTTGAAGTCACACAAGAAAACCCATCAGAAACAGACTCAGAATCGACCACCGAGGGAACGTAAAACCAAAAATAAAAATCGTAAAAATGAAAATTCTAATAATAACGACAGTGCTGGGGAACAGGATTTGAAATTGGTAAAACAAGAAATGGATAAAATTTCCTCATACACGGAAGAAACTAACTCCACCTTTAATGGCAGTGAATTTGAAGGCAGCGGAGTCAATGATGAATTGAAAGCACAACAGTCTTCCACAGCATTTGTTAAATCGGAAGCAGTGGAATGTAATATCAATGATATGTATAACGTGCAGGTGCCAGAAATTAAATCTTCACAGTATACAGCTCTAGCACCCAAAATTGAAAGTATGCCCATGCCAGAAACTTCACAAGCTTTTCAGGTGGCCTATGCAGCCGAGGAGGAGATACCAACACCTTGGATTGATGCGGGAGTCTTAGTGTCAAAACCTATATTGCCTATGGCCCCGGTAACATCGGCCTGTGTGGCCATACCCACAGAAATGCCCAGCTATGTTAATTTACAGCCCAATTATTCAAATGCCATGTCGATTGTAAATCCTCCCTACCAGGTGGCAACAGAAAATGCCAATCCCAACTTAGCCATGGAAATTGATAACAATGACATGATCAACAACAGTATTAATAACAGACAACAACAACATAATGCCTATCATCAAATTCCTAATGCCAGCAATACTCTTGCACAAGATGTTATGCCGCTACAGGAGAACATAGAGGATTTGTTAAAGGGTACCGATTACAGCAGTGATGCTGATATGGAAACAGAATCATTACTTAATGACATTTTAATGACCATTGACAATAACACCAGTCTATTGCAGGAAACTCTACAACAGGCCGATGAAGTGCCTACAGATGGTTCGGGTCTTATAGAAGTTGATTTGCGTAATAATAAACCCACGCTAAAACAAATAACAGCTGAAGCTGGCATCTGCAGCTGTACCAATTGTAAATGTGATAAAACCAAAAATTGCCAAGGTGACTGCTCCACTGAGGCGCCTTGTGGTAAAAAGCAAACTAATTTTAAAAGTGCCCCTAAAGGCGGCTGCTGTGGGCATAAAAATAATGCTAAAAAACCTTTAAGTAAACGTGAAACGGAAATGAATCAAAATATTGAAGATGTGGCCATGTTATTGCAAAATCTAGCCTCCATGGGTAGTGGCCGAAAAGGAGGTTGCTGTGGTGGTGGTGCTGGCAATAAGGAAACTAACACAACTGAAATGAATACTAACAAAACCTCCTGTTGTTCAGGACCTACTAATAAACCTATGGCTACTTCAGCTTGTTGCTCTATGCCCGAAACAAAACCATCTTCTGGCTGCTGTTCACAGGAAAAAACTTTGCCACCCAAAACCAGCTCATGTTGTTCTTCAGCAGACAGTAAAATGATGCCGCCGCCACCACCCTCAGTAACTAACAACACCAAGGCTCTTAAAAGTTCTTCTTGCACCTGCAAGAGTCCATCGGAAGGCGTCGCTAATGGCTGTTGTGTGGTTATCTGCATTAAAACTTTACAGGCTTTGCGTAAAGTTTTAACACGCAAAAATTTAAATCTTATGCTTTGTCCTCAAAATCAAACGAATCAACAAAGTAATTAAGAAAACAAAATTATTGTTTTGAAATTGTACTTCTTTTAAAAAGATATTTTGTTTTTCGTTTTTTTTTTTTTTTAATTCAGAGATCTTTAACAATTGTTAAATTTTGTCTTTTTATAATATATTTTTTGTTGCTTAATTAACATATAGTTTATAGTTGAAAAACAATACTTTGTTAGCTACATGCCAAAAACGGAAATTATATATAAATATTATTATTGTTTCATGCCATATTTTATATAGTATATAAATTTATAAAAAAAAAGAAGAAAAAATAACATTGTGCCTTATTATATCAAATTTTTTATTAAAATAAAAATAACCTACATACTTACTACATGCAAGAATATTGCAAGGTGTTTTTTAATTTATAGATAGATAGATAGATAGATAGATAGATAGATAGATAGATAGATAGATAGATAGATAGATAGATAGACAAATAGACAAATAGATAGATAGATAGATAGATAGATAGATAGATAGATAGATAGATAGATAGATAGATAGATAGATAGATAGATAGACAAATAGACAAATAGATAGATAGATAGATAGATAGATAGATAGATAGATAGACAAATAGATAGATAGACAAATAGATAGATAGACAATAGATAGATAGATAGATAGATAGATAGATAGATAGATAGATAGATAGATAGATAGATAGATAGATAGATAGATAGATAGATAGATAGATAGATAGAAAGATAGATAGATAGATAGATAGATAGATAGATAGATAGATAGATAGATAGATAGATAGATAGATATATAGATAGATAGATAGATAGATAGATAGATAGATAGATAGATAGATAGATAGATAGATAGATAGATAGATAAATAAATAAGATAGGAAGATATATAAATAGAGTTTCAAATAAAAATTACTTAAAAGAAGAGCTAGTTCCTGAGCTGTTTCACCGGTGACAATTTGAAATTAAAATCATTGATTCAATCATTCCATAAAACTAGTGACGACTACATAACTACCTTTTCATGAACAAGTTTTCTTTTGCTGTTAGATTGAAACCATTGAACTATTTTTGATCTAACGGAAAATTCAAATTAAATTAATAATAATTCCTAAAATCCAAGAATGAGAACTTAAATCATACAACAAATTTTTCTACAAGTAATGTTTACTTTTAAAGTTATTTATTAAGATTAAACTACAAATGTCCAGATTTTTTTTTTCTTTTTGTATTAACAAATATCAAAGTTTACATTTTATTAAACACTTTCCAAAAGAACGAAATATAAAGCTGTTCATTAAATATTTTTAAATTAATGAACCAGTTTTGGAAAGTGAGCATTATGACTAAACGTTATTCGGCAACGTTTATTTTCTTATTTAAAACAAAACTATTTTGGAATGAAACTTAAACTGATAGTTGTAGTTATTATTAGCAAAAAATACACATAAATCTCGCGGTAGGTTGACAAACGTCATAATGAACTGAATTAATCTTCACCAGCTGGTATGGCATCCTCTAGACGTCTTATAAATTTAACACGTAACTCAGTAACATTGTCCCCTTTTAACTGGTCCTAAAATGATAGTGCAGTGGAAACACATTAGATGTTAAAACAGGAATCAGATATTCATTTACTTGCCTGAACAAACCAGCATTGCACCTCTAGCTGTACCATTTCCAAAGCGCCTCTTATACAACCGCTTATAATGGAACTATATCTTAAGTTAGTTAGATCGGGTGGTAATTCTACAAATTCTGTTAGGGGATTAGTTTCGAATTGCAGCGAAAATTCATCGGAAGCTTGTGACCAATTTGTTATTGTAGGTTGTACATTTAAATAGATGCGAAATGCTTGTTGAATGCGATCGGCTGTTTCACGCATTTCCAAACAACGTGTGGCCGAGGTGCGTGCCAAAAAGTCTTCTATCAAACGCATACCCATATTATAGCCAATGCGTTCCAGTTGTTTGTTGACATCTTCAACATTCTCCAAGTCACGCAGCATTTGTGTTACCAACGCTCCATAGGTAAGGGTTAAAAATTCCGAATTCTATACAGCAACCATTTGGGGGGATATGGTGGAATGAATGAAGGAAGGAGCAGAATAAATATGATTTGTTTTTTAATTTTCTGGAGCCGTAATTGTTTCTTTTTTGTTTAAATATGACTACAGAATGACTTAAACTTAACTTAGGGCTAAATATTATTTACAGATTCGTACGTTCTATATGTAAACGTTGTTGTAGAGGGGGCGGGACATTGATTGATTATAACAGGCGCTCCTAGGAACGCTTGCTGATGTTACTTGATTGGTGTTATGGTTATGTTAGGTGTTGTGTTGGTGGTGCTGTGGGTCTGATGTGGTGCTATAACACGCGGCGGTGCTCGCGGCACTGAAGCTCTTGATAATTGTGCCGTGTGCTGTTGTTCCTCATGTCCCGCCCCTTGTTGCTGTAAATCACCCTTTTCTTGTGCAGAATGAAAGCGGCCACCCTCACCACGAACACGATTCATGGCATGACGATGTCGTGACTCGTGCAGATATTTAGAACGCTCTTTGGGAATGCGTGATTCTAATTTGGCGCGCGCTTGACGGCGTACTAGTATACGTTTGTATTGTTTGGCATTTACATAAAGTGGCTCCTCTTCAGGTTCCCCGGCTTGAGCATCTTCAGTGGTTGAAGCGGTAACAGAATCTGCCGGAGTTTGCACCGGTGTGCTGGGAGTGTTGGTTGTGGTATTTGGATTCTGAGTTTGGGTTGTGGTTGCTGGAGCTGGTGTTGATACTCTAACCGTGGCTGCATTGCCAACATTAGTAGCTGCTGCTGTGGCTAATTGGTTGGTGGCAGACTGTGGTACCATTATAATTTGTTGTGCCAATGGATTAGTGTTAGTGGCGTTGGTATTCGCATTACCAGCTTGTGGAGGTGCCGCTGTTGTAATTTGCATTATCTGACCATTGATATTTATAAATTGTGGATGTATGGCTTGTATGGTATTGTTGGCATTATCATTTCCACTTAAAACATTTGGTTGGTAAAACAATGTTTGGCCATCGGGTAATTGCATAAGTTGCATGGGTTGAGCCGTTTGCTGCGGCTGCTGCAGCATTATTTGATTACCTTGCAAAGGTATTAGTTGTGGCTGTAGGCCCGCAACTTGTTGTGGTTGTTGTTGTCCAATAATGATTTGAGCTGGACCACCGGCAGTGGCCATAACCGGCATGGGTATTACCTGTATTTGATTAGACGATACGGTATTGCTGTTAGTGTTCATTTGTTGGTCCGTGTTTCCCTGCTGTTGTTGTTGGTTAAGTTGATTTGCGGCACTATTTTCCATTTCTTCCATATATCTTCCAACTCCTCCTGTATAAATCTCTGTTTACTCCCACAATTACTGTTTTGTATATCTTCTTGAAACGGAGCGACTACTGTAAAATCGTATTGAAACTCATTTTTATATCGAGGGTGGCCACTCCACAAATTCTACAAATTTTATGCTACTGCAAAACAAACTATTCTCATCATTATGCCTTTTTGGCAATACTTACCACTTTCTTAGCATCTAACTTGGAAACTAAACGCGACATCTTTCATATATTCCACACAATATAATACTTTAACTTTATCTTGGTAGAGATTTTTCTGATATTTATGGCGTTTAAAATTATTAATTTTTAATGTAAAATTTACATACACCCCACGAAAAGCATAGAAAATTTTGCTAGCTGATAAACTAAGGTTGTGGTATGTTCAGTGATTGACAGATAATTGTAAATAAGAGTTGCCAAGTCTATTTTTATTTAAATTTTCGAATATTATATTAGAGTTGCCAAGTCCCTAATGAAGCGAGAAAACATTTTTTTATAATTCCCATAAAATTTATAAAAAAAATTTCATTTCTAAGCAGCTGGTCCGATCGTGCGTAGCGAAAGAGTTTAATTTTTTAAAAATGGACCAAAAGGTCTCATTTTAATATCGTTGAAAATTTGAAAAACACAACTGAAAACTTAGGCTGCTTATAGCCGATTTTATGCCGCCGCTGAAATTTTTGGTATCAGACATCGAAGCCGTTAATATTTGTCGGCGCAGGGCTCTGAGCAATCTGCTTGTCATTCTTTTTTGAGTTAATTACTGTGAGAAAAAGCAAAAATTATTTATTGCAAATTTTAACAAAGAAAAGTCGCTTGTTTTAGGAAATATTTAGTCAATAAAAAAATGTCAGTACGCGTTATCAATGATGAAGCCCATTTCCAAACTGAACTGGCTGCCGCTGGTATACGTTTGGTTGTGGTAGATTTTACAGCCACTTGGTAAGTAATATCCGGAAAGTTCCCACATACACATATAAAGTTTTATACACATTTACTTTTTTTGACTTGCAGGTGTGGACCTTGCCAACGCATAGCTCCACAGTTTGAATTGTTGCCTGCTAAATATCCTAAAGCCATATTTCTAAAGGTAGATGTTGATAAATGCCAGGATACTGCCTCCAGTCAAGGAGTTTCGGCTATGCCTACATTCATTTTCTATAGAAATAGGGTAAGTGAGAGGCAATTGCTTTGTGGCATTGAATAATTTTTTTATGGAACATTTTGCAGACAAAAATTGATCGTATACAAGGAGCCGATATTAATGCCTTAGAAGCCAAAATTCAAGAACACATAGGTACCAGTGGTGGCGATGAAACCTTTGAAGATTATGGCCAAGGATTGGTAAATATAAAGTTATAACTTTATTTTAATCAGCAGATAATAAAGTTCTAATTGCAGATGGAAATAAATACTTTCATTTCGAAACAAGAATGTGAATGCCTCAATGAAGCAGATGATCATCCCATGTCTCATTGTTTGACCTCAAATGGTGGTTTCTTACAATCGGATTGTGATGAACAATTGATTTTATCTATAACTTTCAATCAACTGGTCAAAATACACTCCTTAAAATTTAAAGCTCCCCCACAACTGGGTCCAAAGGAAATAAAAATTTTCATTAATCAGCCCAGAACTATTGATTTCGATCAAGCTGAGTCCATGACAAGCGTCCAAGACTTGACGTAAGTATTACGCTCTACAATGAATTTGCAAGTAATATATCTTATGTTTACTTATATTCATAGTTTGGAAGCCAAGGATTTGGACAAGGGCACACCGGTACCATTGCGTTTTGTTAAATTCCAAAGTGTACAAAATGTACAGATTTATATAAGAAACAATCAATCGGGTGGTGAAGTAACCCAACTGGATTATTTGGGTTTTATTGGTTCTCCTATAATGACCACAAAAATGACTGATTTTAAGCGTGTTGCTGGCAAAAAAGGCGAAAGTCATTAATTTTTCTTAACAACTCTCTTTAAATTAGACAAACATCATATTGATAATAACAGCAAATATAATTTATAATATAATAAATAAAACAAGAAATTAATAACAATTTTTTTAGTATAATTAACTATAAAATATTTTTTAAAATGCGTTTTAGTTTATTGCCAAGAAATCAATTCTAATTAAAAAAACTAATTAAAATATACAATTGTCTACCCATTAATAAACATTTCATAAACTACTTGTTTGTAGTTTTCTATTTTGCCATTCTTGCTTCAACATATTCCAAGCCTTTTCGGCTTGTTTTAAAGTAAATTCAGTATCCCATAAGGAACAGAAAATCACATGTGATTTAGCTACCATTTCGTCATTACTCATTTGACTGGCCAATCTACGTTTAGCCTCCTCCTCCGTTAAACCATTGCGTTCTATCACACGTTTGACAGCCTCTTCGGGCGGCACAATCATGGACCAAACTTCATGTACCTCTTGTTCCCAGCCGGCTTTTAGCAAAACAGCCGCTTCCAATATCACCACTTGTGGAGGATTCTCTTTTTCGCTTAATGCTTTTAAACGTCTTTTAACCTCCGCCATTAATTCGGGCCACACAATGTTATTAAGTTTTTCCAATTCCGAGGGATTGGCAAAAACTATGGGTCCCAGTTTGCTACGATCTATACGACCATTATTGTCTACAATGTTTTGACCAAAGTATTCCACCACACGTTTATAGCACACTTGCCCCGGTTCATAGATTTCATGAGCAATTTTATCACAATCCATGACATAAGCTCCCATATTGGCGAAACGTTGAGCCATTTTACTCTTGCCTGAAGCTATACCGCCTGTAAGACCCACTATATAAGGCTCGGCTGGCAAATGTGGTTTAGGCTAATGAAAAAAGGAATGTTAAACAATTTAATTTTTATAAATCCAACACCAACCTCTGGTTGTCTCCAACGTGTTCCTAAAATATCGATTCTTGTATTACTCGAGCTAACTTTATGCTCTTTGGGTCCTCCCTTGTCAGTAGCTTCTACCAGGTCTATACAGAATATATCCAATGTATTGAGTTTATTTCCCTCTCGCACTTCATTGACTTTTTGTCCACCACGCAAAGTTTCAGCACTAACCACTATCATATCCATATTAGGATCATTTTTTGTAGGACCAAAAGGATCATCTATGGGTACTACCTCATACTCTAAGGTTGCATCGATTTCTTTTAAAAATTTTTGTAACTCATCTATACGTTGATCGACTGGTAAAATCAATTCATTTAGAGTTTTTGCTGAAAGGTAAGTGATGGATTTTTATTAGAAGTTTAAAGAAAAAAATATTTCTGCAATCTAGCCTGGTCAATAGAATAGTCTATAGTCTCATCTATAGTCTAGTCAATAGTATATATGTATTCTTATTAATAGTCAAGTTCTAGTCGATAGTCTAGTATATAGTGTTATTAATATGCACTAGATAGTTTATTCTACAGTTTATAGACTAGTCTACAGTCTAATCTATACCCTAGTCTACAGTTCTAATTTAAAATCTAGTATATATTCTAGCCTAGAATGTAATCTATTGCCCAGTCGATAATCTAGTCTATAGTCTAGTCGATAAAGTGATCTATAGCCTAATCTATACTCTAATATATATTATATTCTATAGTCTAGGTATGCTCTTCTCTATAATCTAGTCTATAGTTTTGCATAGAGTTAATCTATCCTAAAGTTAATTCTATAGTATCGTCTACTCTATTGTCTATTTATATTCTAGTTAGCTGAAGTTTTGCTGTTATTTGCACAACAACGTGGAAATATGATACAATAATTTAGTATTATACTTACATTTAGTTAATTGTGATGTAGTAACACCCACTACTAAACGACAACAAGCCCTTATAACGGCTTGCGTTAGAAATATTTTATGGCCCAAATGTATACGATCAAAGGTACCACCTAAAACAACATTATTATACATTTTTATTTTATCCTCCGGTTCTAACTGCTGATAATCTGTCAAGTCATTGCAGCTTTCATCGGCTAAGTAAATCGTAGGTTTTTCTATTCTCAACTCTTGACGTAACTTTTCACAAACCTCTGGATGATGGGCATCGGAAAATATCATATCAATTGGTCGTAAATTCAAATTCTCAAATGTTCCTTTTTGTTTTAGAGGTGTTACCAGAATATTCATATCCACTTTGTTATTGAAATGAACACTACTGTCAACATATAGTTGTGATATTAAGCGACCCCAGGAAGGTACTGGAGCTCTTGTTACTGGCACATTTAGATGCACATAAACGGAATGCACATATTTTTCAATCGAATGTAAGGTTTGAGCAAATTTCTTGACATTGGAAACAACCAAAAGACCGGTAGAAGCCATTTTTGGTGGAAGATTTTTAAAACAAAATTCTTTTTAGAAAGTTAAGGAAAAACAGACGAACTTTGTACAAAAACTACTGATAACAGAATATAAAATAACAGTGAAGGCACTTATAAACAAGTGTCAATTATTAAAGTGCAGTTTGTCAGCAGTGAGCACTGGCCACTAGTTTGTAATTGGAACAAAATTTAAAAATAGTTCAAAAATTTTAAAAATAAATTTCTACTTTCTTAAAACAAATAAAGATTATAATTCAGAATTATTATTCTCAACATTTATATGAAAATCTCTAAATTTGTAAACTATTTTCTTCTTCCAATAAGGGTTTAATTTTACTGTTGTGTTCATTCAATATAAAAGTACTATTTTTACGCTATTTTCCCTAGTTAAGCATATTCACTGTTACAACAGCTGTTCTGTTATCTTTTGTTATCATTTTCCAATATTTACCTACCACTTATTTGTTTTATTTGTACTTTGTTCACGCACTTTGCCAGAGAAATTTTAATAAAAATGTTTTAATTTTTATTTTATAAACTTATTAATTAATTATTTACACTTCAATGCAATGAATTTCCGCAATGCAAAAGCCCGCCAGCCGGAAATCGTACGTTCCGTACAGAAAGATGCCCGTTATACAAATGAATTAGCCGAAGATTTATCCGATTTATTAAGGCTTACCGGAGCTAGAAATTGGATAAAGTATAATCAAATGTGTAAACTTATAGCTGAAATATGCTATCATGGTTTTGCTTCCGTTAATAGTTTACAAACACTGGGAGAAGAGTATACGGGCATAATACAAGTGGATTCCCAATATAAACACATTCCCTCAAGACTGGTGAGTTTAAAAATTGTAGAGAATATATAATGTATATAGTTTAGTTTGTAGTCTAGCTTATAGTTTAGTCTAATCCACAATCTAGTTTATAATCTAGTCTAGTCCACAGTTAAGTCTATAATCCAGTCTATAGTCTAGTTTATAGTCTAGTCTATGCTCTAGTCTATAATTTAGCATTTAGTTCAGTTTATAGTCTAACATATAGTCTAGTCTGTAGTCCAGTCTATAGTCTAGCCTACAGTTAATATTCAAGTCTATGGTCTAGTCCACAGTTAATAGTCTATAGTCTAGTCTATAGTGTAGTCATTCTAGTCTATAGTGTAGTCAGTCTAGTCTATAGTATAGTCTAGTCTATAGTATAGTCTAGTCTATAGTATAGTCTAGTCTATAGTATAGTCTAGTCTATAGTATAGTCTAGTCTATAGTATAGTCTAGTCTATAGTATAGTCTATAGTCTAGTCTATAGTGTAGTCTATAGACTAGTCTATAGTGTAGTCTATAGTCTAGTCTATAGTGTAGTCTATAGTCTAGTCTATGCTCTAGTCTATAATTTAGCATTTAGTTCAGTTTATAGTCTAGTCTGTAGTCCAGTCTACAGTTAATACTCAAGTCTATTGTCTAGTCCACAGTTAATAGTCTAGTCTATAGTGTAGTCAGACTAGTCTATAGTATAGTCTATAGTATGGTCTAGTCTATAGTCTAGTCTATGGTCTAGTCTATGGTATAGTCTAGCCTATAATCTATTCAATATTCTAGTCTATATTCTAGTCTATATTCTAGTCTATTGCCTAGTCCATAATATAGTCTAGTATACTTTATAGTCCTGTCTAGTACATAATCTAGTCTACTATCTAGTTATACTGTCTAGTATAGTCTATATTATTTAGTTCAGCCTATAGTCTAGTCTGTATTCAAGTCTATAATGGTATTGTAGGTGAAAGTCCTGATTAGAAAATTTATTTATACATAATATCTTATTCTACCAAAAATATTTACATTCCCCTATTTTCATTTACAGCTTCAACTAACTGCTATTATACTAGAATTCGGTGGCGATGCCTTATATTTGAAAATACTACAAAAACTTGAAAAATATATAGACGATCATGAGGAAATTGTACCTGAGGCCAAAAAGAAACTAAAATCCATCATCTACTTTATGCGTTGCTCACCCACCTACCTAAAGGCTTTACACAAATCATTATTCTATTTACGTTCCGATAAATATCAACTATCCAAACGTACTACAGGCATTAATTATGTCCTAATTAGGCATTGGCTACAACCGGAATTTTCCCTATACGGTTATAAAATCTTGGGCGTTGTTACATTCTTACAAGTTAGCTTTTCGCTGTTAATAGCTGCCTTCGATACATGGAAGGAGCACAAAAGAAAACGTTATGAAGTGGCAAAGGCCACAAAACGTTTCGTACAAAAAGAGGAATTTTCGAGGCAAAAAGAAACGCAACAAAATGTCCCTCAATGTATATTGTGTTTGGAGCCACGTATGAATACGAGTCTGACACCTTGTGGTCATTTGTTTTGTTGGAATTGTATTTTGGATTGGTTGGATGAACGTGATGAATGTCCTTTGTGTCGAGAATCCTTGAAAAAATCTCAAGTTGTGCAGTTGCAAAATTATATATAAAGTGTTGGGGTGTAACAGGTTATTCTCACATTTCAGGTTTGGGTTAATAGTATTTTTTTGTAATTTGATTTAAGAAATTTATTTATATTTAGTTTAATGTTTAATAAAAATATATAACATTTTAATAAAGAACAATTATTATAATTAACGACAAATTATAAGTTTGTTTTCTTAAATAAATTTATTTTTGAGATTTCTTAATTATGACTTTAAAAATGATATTATTCTTAAGTACTTTTTAAACAAAAACTATTTTGCAATAACTTTACTTAAAATTACAAGGATTTAAAATCGAATTCATTTTGAGTTACTTACGATTTATTTTGAAATTATTCATCATATCAATTTTATTTTTATTTTATTTTTTCTTTTATTCTAAATTTAACAACTATTGATTAGTGATGTGATGTACATTTGAGAATTGTGTTAAAAATATGTTTTTATATTTATATATATTTTTTTCATACTCATATTTTAAAACGAAACTCAAAATGTTTTATAAAGATTACACTTAAAATTTCAAATTAAACTTTGAATTTTTCAGAAAATGTGAAGCAAAATTTTGTATAATCTTAATAAAAGATTATGTTAGGTGTGATTAAAAAAAAAATATAATGGAATTTAAAAATTAATTATATTTACAAAAAAAGTATGTATTTATAATAATAGCAACAAGTATAATTCAAATTAAATTATTTTTATAAAAATATTACGACCAAATAGTTTTTTACGTTTTCTTGATTCAAATGCGGAACGGGCTTGGTCGGGAGACATGAAAGCCACACGAGCATCGCCAGTGGGAGAACCGTCATCATTATAGCGTCGTATTATATCATCAGGTGTTAAATCATATCCTTGAAAGAAATTTAAAATATCTGAAAGTTGAGCTTTATAGGGAACATTTTCCAAAGATAAAACACAGCCTTGCCGGGTAAATTGTTCGGGTATACCACCTCCATTACCACCACCACCATTATTACTTCTGCCATTATTGTTATTGTTGTTGTTGGGTGCATTAACATTATTGTCATTATCATTATTAAGGGGTCCATTATCATTAAAATTATTATTGCCCCGGAAACGATTGTTATTATTATTGTTGTTGTTACTATTATTTAAATTACGCGTTAAACTATCGTTAATCATACCCTTGGTTATTCTTATACCATTACCTCCTGGTATATAGCTAAGAAAAGGTTTACCCAAACGATCGGCAATTTCTTGGGGCGTTATGGGAAACACCCTCAAACTACGATTACGAAATTGTATGTTATGAAATCTTTGCACCGCTATCTCAGCATCATTATTGCGCCGAAATTCGACAATAAACTCACCCGTAGGCAGTTGACGTTCATTGCGCAAGGGCTCAATATGTTTCAAAGCCAAATTTGCAGTTAGCAGTAGCTGGGCCACATCATTTATGCGTGTATTATATTCACAGTTCTTGAGTATAACAAAGTTATTATGCATATTGTTCAGGCCGGCAGTCATATTCATTTGTTGTTGATTATTAAAATTGGGATTAAAGTTGTTGTAATTGTTTGGTCCTCCCATTGTAGGGTTATTTTGTTGTTGATTATTATCTACTGAATTAACAGAAGAGTTTGTTGATCTTTCACTCATACTTCTCAAACGTGGATCGTTGAAGAGATTGGAACGATTTTGATTTTGCATAAGATTGGTTGAATTCATGGGATTGAGATCGAATAAACTAGGTATGTTGGGTGTTTGTGGACGTCTAGGATCTAAGTTAGAGCTAAATTTATTTCCTTGCAGGGAGTAAATATCATTTTGCCTTAAATTTTCTGCTTCTCTTTCATAATTTTCTCTACTATTCATAACACTGTCCTTGTCATTTGTGTTATTGTTGTTTTTCAGTTCATTGGTGGTTTCTATTACATCATCATCCTGCTCTCCCACCTGCCTATCATTATCATCATCTGCATCTTCTTGTGTTAAATCCATGCTTACTATATTTTGTTGTTTACTTTCTTCTTTCTCTATATGCTCGGTAATAAGTTTCTCTAGTTTACGTTTGGCTTCTTCCTCCTCGGCCGCTTGTTCTTCTTTCATTAGTTGCTCATTGGCCAAACGTATCTTTTCCTTAGCATTTTCCATTTCCTCAATGGTACTAGGTCTCATTCTTACCCGTCTATAACCTATCTGATGGTGAGCTCTATCTTCGTAGGCAGACTTGGCATCTTCCTCGCGTGAAAAACGTACATAAGCTACAAATTCCCGCCTATTCTCCGGACTAGCTATGAGCAATATATCGTATAAAGAATAAGAGCTAAACATTTTCATAATATCCTGTTCGGTAGCCAAGGAGGGTATATCTTCTATATAAAGCACCGTAAATGGTTCAAGTTGTATCATCTTTTTATAGGGATTAAGAGCACTGAAACCGCTATTATTGTTGCCACCACTTTCGTCATTAGCATCATCACTTTCATTACCGCGATGGCCATATTCCTTGTCCTGATTGGGAGGACGAAAACTATCTTCGGCTTCGTTAAACTCTTGTTCGTCTACCGCCTCAATAATCAGCGTTTTACCCTTTAATAGGTTTTTGCTACGACATAAAGCTTTCGCTACACTGGACTGTTTGGAGAATTGTACATAGGCTATGCCTACCCTTAGACCATGTTTATCGTTAAGCATTTTAATACCATTATGTGGTATAAACAAACCCACAAAGAATTTACGCAAATCACTGTAAGTAGTTCTGGAGCACATATTGGAGATTTTAATGCAATTTGTTTCGTTGGGATCTACCTCTTTTGGTTTAGTATCTTCTGCTTTTGGCGAATCCATTGAAGACATGGTAGAGGAGTTTTGTTTTGTATTAAGAGACTTCTGTCCACTGCTTAAGGCCGCCGCCTGGGCAAACAAAGTTGGATACATTTGCTCATATGGATTGACATTGGCAAAAGCTATAGGTTCTTGTGTTAAAACCGGTTCATTGCCAGCAGTTGTTACATTAGTTTCCAATGGTTTCTTCTCTACAAAAATGCCGGGTATTGAAGAGCTGCTTGTAGTATTGGAAACATTTCCTGTTAGATTAGCAGAGGCATTTAAAGCGGTGGTATAAGGATTTTGTAGTGCAAATCCCTTAAAAGAATCATTGCTATTGCCAGCATTTAGTATACCACTCAAACTGTAATTATTAAGAGCTGTCAGAGATTGGTTAGCCGTATTATAGTTTTGTATATTTGTTGCCTCCATAGACTTGTTGTCATTTCCCATATTATTAGAGCTATTAAACGTAGCTTGATAATTTGCAATTTTCATAAAAGACTGTTGATCCGCATCCGTGGAACTGTAGCTAGCCTGATAAGCATTTGTTGTACTCCAGGGTGATAAGTTTGATTTAGGTTTATTATCCGCCATCGCATCCATACTGCGTGGTCTATTAATATTGCCAGCATCCCTACTAGTGCGGCGATTGTGGTCTCGGCTGTTGTTATTGCGAGAACGTTCTCGTTCACGACTTCTATCGCGACTACGCTCTCGACTGCGAGCACGACTTCTTTCACGACTGCGTGATCGAAGGTGCGAAGATCTTCTTCCATTAGTCCAGTCCCGTTCACGAGAGCGATCTCTACTACGCTCACGACGACGTCTAAAAATGCTACGTTCTCTAGAATGAGATCTAGAGCGACGACGATCTCTTGAATCCGAACGACGTCGATCACGATCATGTTTCGATTCAGAGTCATCAGAATCAAGGTTATTCTTGGTAGCAGTTGTAGTATTTTTCGCTTCGGGTATTAATGTAAAACCCGCCTGTTGTTGATAGGCCAAGAACGATGGTGTGGCCACTGCTGTTGCTGCCGTATTAGTTAAAATATTTTGAAAACTACTTGCTGTAATAACCGGTGGTTGTGGTGCCGTTGTCACCACTGTATTTTGTATACTCGGAGGCGCAACGACGATGGGTGGTGAAGATTTAGGTTGAGCCAAAATCGCCCCACCAGTAGCTTTTTTCAACGCTAAAAGCGATTGTTGGCGAGCGATTTCTATAACTTTTTGCATTTCTGCCCGCGATGAGAGTAAGAGACGTATTTGTACGCCATTAATGGCTTCGCGGTCGTGCATCATAGCTTGTCGGGCATCTTCATCGGTACTGTTTCGAAATAAATATAAATACAAAAGACATATAGTTTTGGTCGAGAACTAATGTTAAAATACCACCAAAAGATAATCAATGTATTAAAACTGAAGAAAGATAATAGTTGTTGGTCAGTTTTTAGAGAGTAACATCATAAGTTTTGGCTTAGGATTATGATCACGTTCTTTTAAGCAATCCGAGATAAATGTACGTTCTATTATAAGTATTCGTTTGTTTCTAAAATGGAGGTAATATACATATACAAATTTAATTATGTATAAGACTTACGACAGATATGCATGGCTCAGATTCTAAGTCCATTGAAATACTTCATGTTGTACATAAAATCATTATTTTTAATTGCCACAAATCAAAATAGCCATATAATACGTATGTATTCTTTTATTAAAAAAAAACCTATCAGACATGCTATCCATAAATAAAAAAGATATGGGCAAAAATCCGAGACAATTTCGTAAAAAAATAGATTTTTTTGCATGCAGACGCAAGAAAACAAAAACAACGTACAGATTGTGTTCGCTTGTGAACACGTGCTAAACGTTGTTAATTTTTCGATATTATGTTTTTGCTGTTTTGTTTTAATTTTTTGTCACAGTCAGCGACGTGAACCAATTAACGAATGACATAATAAAAAATGTAAAAAACGCTATGGTGAAGGGTATATAAGATTCGGAAATTCTGTTTTTTTTTTTTGCGATTTGTAGTAAAATTAAGATGTGTCGTGTTTGTCAAATTCATCACATCAATACGCATCGTCATACAGGACAATACTTTATATTTATAACATATATTGCTAATACGCACCATGTTACCAATTCCGTACCTGGTATCAATATAACACAAATAGTAAATAATTTTTAGGTTCCAAAGTAGGTACATACTAAACAAATTTTTCGCTAGACTAAACTATAGACTAGACTAGAGACTAGACTATAGACTAGACTATAGACTAGGCTATAGACTAGACTATAGACTAGACCATAGACTAGACTATAGACTAGACTAGACTATATACTAGACTATATACTAGACTATATACTAGACTATAGACTAGACTGGACTATAGACTAGACTATAGACTCGACTATAGACTAGACTATAGACTAGACTATAGACTCGACTATAGACTAGACTATAGACTAGACTATAGACTAGACTATAGACTAGACTATAGACCAGACTATAGACTAGACTATAGACTAGACTATATAGACTAGACTATAGACTAAATGATCCATTTATAACTAAACGACTATTTGCTTCTCTTGTACGGCCGATATTGGAATATGGATCAGTCGTATGGGACCCGTATTACAATGTGCATATTGATCATATTGAATCTGTGCAAAAACAATTTTTATTATTTTGCTTAAAGAGCATATATGGGAACTATTCTGAACTGCCACCGTATGCAGCAAGACTTGCTTTGATAAATCTACCAACACTGAAAAGTCGCAGGACAATGCTTAATGTGTCATTTATGATAAAACTTCTAAATGGAACTGTATGTTCTGAATTTCTATTAAGTAAAATTTCTTTAAATGTTTCTCAACGTCAATTACGATTTAATAATCCATTATACGTCAAAACGTTTCGAACAAATTTCGCTATGGCAGATCCGTTTAGAAAGTTATGTTGCTGTTTTAACGAAATGTTTAACTTTGTTGATTTTTCTTTAAATGTTGATGTTATAAAAAGAAATATATTATATAATCTAAATAATTAACGTTATTCTATGTTTAAATTTAAAAAAAAATTATAAATTGTTAAATAGTCTGTAAGGAATATTTCCATAGACTAAAATAAAAATAAATAAATAAAAGAAATAAATAGACTTGACTATAGACTAGACCATAGACTAGACTATAGACTAGACTATAGACTAGACTATAGACTAGACTATAGACTAGACTATAGACTAGACTATAGACTAGACTAGACTATAGACTAGACTATAGACTAGACTATAGACTAGACTATAGACTAGACTATAGACTAGACTATAGACTAGACTATAGACTAGACTATAGACTAGACTATAGACTAGACTATAGACTAGACTATAGACTAGACTATAGACTAGACTATAGACTAGACTATAGACTAGACTATAGACTAGACTATAGACTAGACTATAGACTAGACTATAGACTAGACTATAGACTAGACTATAGACTAGACTATAGACTAGACTATAGACTAGACTATAGACTAGACTATAGACTAGACTATAGACTAGACTATAGACTAGACTATAGACTAGACTATAGACTAGACTATAGACTAGACTATAGACTAGACTATAGACTAGACTATAGACTAGACTATAGACTAGACTATAGACTAGACTATAGACTAGACTATAGACTAGACTATAGACTAGACTATATATAGACTAGATTATGTATAGACTAGACTATAATAGATTAGACTATATAGACCATAGACTAGACTATATATAAACTAGACCATAGACTAGACTATAGACTAGACTATAGACTAGACTATGGACTAGACTATAGACTAGACTATAGACTAGACTATAGACTAGACTATAGACTAGACTATAGACTAGACTATAGACTAGACTATAGACTAGACTATAGACTAGACTATAGACTAGACTATAGACTAGACTATAGACTAGACTATTGACTAGACTATAGACTAGACAATATATAGACTAGACTATATATAGACTAGACTATAGACTAGACTATAGACTAGACTATAGACTAGACTATAGACTAGACTATAGACTAGACTATAGACTAGACTATAGACTAGACTATAGACTAGACTATAGACTAGACTATAGACTAGACTATAGACTAGACTATAGACTAGACTATAGACTAGACTATAGACTAGACTATAGACTATAGACTTGACTATAGACTAGACTATAGGCTAGACTATAGGCTAGACTATAGACTAGACTATAGACTAGACTATAGACTAGACTATAGACTAGACTATAGACTAGACTATAGACTAGACTATAGACTAGACTATAGACTAGACTATAGACTAGACTATAGACTAGACTATAGACTAGACTATAGACTAGACTATAGACTAGACTATAGACTAGACTATAGACTAGACTATAGACTAGACTATAGACTAGACTATAGACTAGACTATAGACTAGACTATAGACTAGACTATAGACTAGACTATAGACTAGACTATAGACTAGACTATAGACTAGACTATAGACTAGACTATAGACTAGACTTTAGACTAGACTATAGACTAGACTATAGACTAGACTATAGACTAGACTATAGACTAGACTATAGACTAGACCTATAGACTAGACTATAGATAGACTACTATATATAGACTAGACTATATATAGACTAGACTATATATAGACTAGACTATATATCGACTATAGACTAGACTATAGACTAGACCTAGACTAGACTATAGACTAGACTATAGACTAGACTATAGACTAGACTATAGACTAGACTATAGACTAGACTATAGACTAGACTATAGACTAGACTATAGACTAGAACTATAGACTAGACTATAGACAGACTATAGACTAGACTATAGACTAGACTATAGACTAGACTATAGACTAGACTATAGACTGACTATAGACTAGACTATAGACTAGACTATAGACTAGACTATAGACTAGACTATAGACTAGACTATAGACTAGACTATAGACTAGACTATAGACTATGACATAGACTAGACTATAGACTAGACTATAGACTAGACTATAGACTAGACTATAGACTAGACTATAGACTAGACATAGACTAGACTATAGACTAGACTATAGACTAGACTATAGACTAACTAAGACTAGACTATAGACTAGACTATTAGACTAGACTATAGACTAGACTATAGACTAGACCTATAGACTAGACTATAGACTAGACTATAGACTAGACTATAGACTAGACTATAGACTAGACTCTAGACTAGACTATAGCGACTAGACTATAGACTAGACTAGACTATAGACTAGACTATAGACTAGACTATAGACTAGACTATAGACTAGACTAGACTATAGACTAGACTATAGACTAGACTATAGACTAGACTATAGACTAGACTATAGACTAGACTATAGACTAGACTATAGACTAGACTATAGACTAGACTATAGACTAGACTATAGACTAGACTATAGACTAGACCATAGACTAGACTATAGACTAGACTATAGACTAGACTATAGACTAGACTATAGACTAGACTATAGACTAGACTATAGACTAGACTATAGACTAGACTATAGACTAGACTATAGACTAGACTATAGACTAGACTATAGACTAGACTATAGACTAGACTATAGACTAGACTATAGACTAGACTATAGACTAGACTATAGACTAGACTATAGACTAGACTATAGACTAGACTGTAGACTAGACTATAGACTAGACTATAGACTAGACTATAGACTAGACTACAGACTAGACTATAGACTAGACTATAGACTAGACTATAGACTAGACTACAGACTAGACTATAGACTAGACTACAGACTAGACTATAGACTAGACTATAGTCTAGACTATAGACTAGACTATAGACTAGACTATAGACTAGACTATAGACTAGACTATAGACTAGACTATAGACTAGACTATAGACTAGACTATAGACTAGACTATAGACTAGACTATAGACTAGACTATAAACTAGACTATAGGCTAGACTATAAACTAGGCTATAGACTAGACTAAAGGCTAGACTATAAACTAGATTATAAACTAGACTATAAAAAATATACTTTCGTCGGGAGAAAATGATACCCTATCCGCGACTTGTCTGAAAGAGTCTTTTATATGCCCCTATTCTGATCAGTTCTAACTCATGTTCTAATAATTTTTGAGTCATTAATCGTCGTTCTGGAGCAGTGGTGCTCAAACACATACTACCATAGTTTTATTTGTGTTGGTAAAGCAGCAACGAACAGAATTCAATACAAAATAAAAGTATATTAATAA